CGCGCGAGCCGCCGCGGCTGCTTTCCCGGCGCCGGGCACCTGCACCGCACAGGTAAGGGTGGGGTGGGTGTCGCACGCGCGGCCGGCTTCTCCGCTCCCGCTCTCCGCGCCCCAGGTGGGACTTTCACCTCCGCGTCCCGGGGGCTGCTACGTCGCCGTCCCTTCACGACTTTAAGTCTCCTGCGTCGCTCGCGCCCCGGCGTTCTGAGCCTGTCCGAAGGCTCCCTCTGTCCCAGCCGAGCTCAGCTTCGTCCTCCCTGCCCCACAGTCATGGGGATCCGGTTTAGGAGCGGCGCATAGACAGCCCACTTGCCCCCAGGGCCTTACATGACACAAGCCCCGTGCTCAACTTGACCTGGGCCAAGGTGCGAGAGACGCAGGGTCTCACCCAGCCTGAGACACTGGCAGGTGGAGAGGAAACCTGGTGTAGCCTGCAGTGAGGTGGGAATCGACAGATGCCTGGTGGCTGAGACAGGATCCCATGTTTGGGAAACTCTAGTGACTGTGTGCCTGGGTAGCGAGAGGGAGGGAATCTCCAAAGTGGGGGGTGGGGGGGAGGGCCGGCTCTCCAGGACAAGAAATTTGGAGACTTAGCCCGGCAGAGGGAGGAAATTAAGACTAGAAGCCAGGGCAAAGACTGGTCAGTTGTGACAGTTCAGCGCCCCGTCTTTGGGGCAGCCTTCTCGCTGTCTACCACTGGGCTGCTGGTGGGGCTCCTGATGGATTTGCTGGTGAATTTCCAGGGCAGTCCAGGAAAAACCTTCCACAGCAAACAGAACTTCCTTGCCTTTTCAGACCAGGAAATAAATACCAGAATGGGTGCCATGACAGGGTGTGGCTCAGGGGCCTGAGGGGCCAGCCCTTGGAGAGGGCAGCGGAGTCCTCGGTGACCCTGTCCAGGAGGGACCCAGTGTGGACAGAGCTAGGAATGCAGGGAGAAAGCAGGTCTGGCTGCTCATGAGATTGCCACGGGGACAGGGAGCTGACTCACCTGGGCACGCTAGGACTGGCCGGGTCTGTTCTCACCCCACCCCTTGGTAAGCTTTCAGGAGGCCTGGGGAGGTAGGAGGCTGGACCTTGCCGGGAACTTGCTGTGTGCCCTTAGGTGAGCTCAGGTGAGCCTGGTGGGGCTGGGAGCCAGCGGCCTAGGTCTGTGCTTCTACATGCTCTACAGATGTGTCTCTGGACCTTCGTGTCCTTCTCGACCCGTTTCTCCATATGTATAGTGTGTGCGCCCTCCCACTAGGTGGACGTAAGGAGCCCTGTGGGCTGGGGGTGGGACTGGGATTTGAGTGGGGAGTTCTCCACCTGAGGTGCTCCTGTTAAGGTTCCATACTTCTTCCTCCCCTTTACCCCCGTACATACTCAGCCTGTTCTGCCTTCACTCTCTCTCCTTATCATTTCTAGAATGAAGCTCAAACCTCCCTAACCAGGGAGCAGAGCCCCTTGGGGCCACCAGACTAGACCCCCAGCCTCAACTGCATCTTCCCCTCACACACTGCCTTACCAGCTATGCTTGACTTCTGGCCTTAAGCCAAGGAGTGTGACTGTCTCCTAGGTAGAGTTAGAGATCCCTTTGGGGTACCACAGCCAGAAAAAATTCCGATTGGGGACTCTAAGATTCATCCCGAGGAGCCTAGGCTGACTCTAGACGACTGGGTCTCCATAGCTAGAACACCTACTTATCCTTTCTAGGGGGGAACTATACTAGTTCGAAGCTCTGGTGTTGTTGATGCCCCCATTTGCATAGAGAGGTGCGTTAGGCCCAAAGAGGGGCTGGACTGTGGATAACTTGGATCACGGCCAGGCTGAACAGCCTGGTAGGGTCAGAGGAAACCTATGAGGGCAGCTGAGGCTTGGGCCGTGGGTCTGGAGTAGGGAAGCAGCTGGCAGCCCTGTGGGGGTGAGCAGGAGGAGGCCTGAGGTGAGGGGGGCAGAGATCTCTTTGCCCGGTGGTAGCATTGGTTGCAGGTATGCTACCTGGCCTTCATGTGAGTGTGGGGGTGCTGGCATTCGTGAATCACCAGCAGCAAGTTATTTACCACAGGTTTTCTCCTGGCTCACCCTGATCCGGTACCTAGTACATACCTCACATTCTGGCCACACCCTTTACCTTTAGTCAGAGTCGCCTCTCTCAGTTAAGACCCCCAACTGACTGCCAGCTGAGGGTGCCACTCCCCCACCCCCCCAACATAGATACACACAAAGGGCCTTTCCAGCCCACCAGTTTTTGCCAGTGGACTGAGAGGTTAGGTGGGCCCAGGCCAGGCTCGCTGTACCCCTGGCCCCTTGCTGAGCTGACCAGGAGCTGACTGCTGGCATGGAAGTGGGGACTGGGGCTGGCACAGAGGCCTGCAGAAGAAGGGGGCCTCTAGCAGCTCCCCTTCCTGCCTCTCCCTTGAAAAGCCTCACCCTCCTGAAGCAGCAGCAGCAGGAAAGGTGGGGCAGGAATGCCTGAGCCCGGCCCTTGGCCGGAGTTCTGAGGCGCCCGCCCCACTCTGCCTCAGAGTCAGTTGGTTCCCTGGCGGTCAGGGGCTCTCCCAGGGGCCTGTGAGGACCCCTCTGGAGGGGGCAAGGCTGAGACCCCTTCCTATTTACCCTCTGGGCCTGCATGCCTTGCTTGCCCATCACTGTCTGGGTTGAGTCTCCTGCCCCACCCAGGTCAGCTAACTTGAGCTTCAGTAGGCTCAGCCAGGAGAGGCAGAGTTTGAAGATCTTGGACTAAAAGATGAGATGTCTGGTCAGGACATCTGGCAGACCTTGTTTGAGGGGTGAGGGCACCCGGCTTGTTGGGGAGGGCTGTGTCTAAATAGAAACTGTAGCCTGATGGTGCCAGTGGAGTTGCCTCTAAGTCCGAAGCCATATCCCCAGGTGATCCCTGCCTGCTGGGAGGCCCTGCGCTGGGGGGCCCTGCCTGCCTGCTGGAGTCCCTCCCTCCATAGCAGGAAGTCAAAGGCTCTAACCCACCTGCCCACAATCACTGCCCCATGTCTTGAGTTGAACCCATCTAGCAGGGACAGCTGGGTTGGGGTGCCCACCCACACTGACCTCACCCACTTGCTGCTCGGTTCTCTCTTCTGCACATGTCAGCAAGTCCCCCCCAGTCTGACTTTGGACTCCACCACTCCCTTGCTCTGAGGGCCTCCATGGCTCCTCTGCTGGCTATCAGGATCTCTTGATGGGCCATTCTTGGAGCCTGGGCCTTGCTCTCATGCTTCCCCCACCTGCTTGCCTGGCCTTCTCTGGCTCTTTTCCCGCCCATCCTTCCTGACTCCAGGGGACCACTCCTTCCTTACACAGCCCTGCTGGGCACAGTGTCCCGAGCCTTGACGCTGAGCACAAGACTGGACAGCGTGCTCTTGTTTCTAGAGACTCGGTGGAGAGGGGCAAGGCCAGAGGTCCACTAGACGTTACTCTGGGCCCTTGGGAGCCAGGTTAGGGGTTGCAGCAGGGAAGTGAGCAACCCAGGACTGGGCTTAAGGAGCATCTGCCTCTGGGCAAAGAGAGATGTTTCCCTGAGTATTCCTGAGCTCTCAGCGGGGCACAGGTGGAAAGCTGGGCAGGGCCCGTGGCCAGTCCAGATGACTCGGGCTCATTGCTGAATTCTGACGTGGATGGTCCTGAGCCTTGCTTCTGGCACACAGCCCGAGGGAATGGGCGTGGGCCCTGCGGCCACGTGTGCTGTCCGGCTCTCATTTGTGCCTGTTCAAGGCCGAGAGCACGCTGGCCATGTGCAGCCCGGAGGAGGCAGCCCTGCTGCGACTGGAGGAGGTCTCCTCGGCCACCCTCGCCCGCATCAACAGCCTTGTCCTCCAGCCCCTGCTTGCCGCTGGTGAGCCTGCTCTCTGGGCTCCAGGGAGTGGGGGTGGGTGGGGGCGGGGGCGCGGGACCCCCCAGGGACAGGAGTCCCGCTTGCTGGCCCCTCAGCCGCATTCTCTCAGCCTCAGAGGAGAGTGGGGACACGGGCTTCAGCCCCTGAGGGGCTGGCCCCCCCCTGCTGCTGGCTGCGCCCCCTCTGTGGCCCCTGCCCTGGCAGGCTGTGCATAGGGATGAAGTGCCTCCCTCCCTGCCTCCCTGGCCTGATTCTCAGCCAGGCTCAGCTAACTGGGAGAGAGGATGCCGAGCTTATGGCCGAGCCCCAGGGGCGTGGCAGGTGCCTGCTCTCAGGGCTGTTTGTGCCTCTGAATGTCAGTGTAGTTACAGGAAGCTGTGGGCTCTCCCTTGAAGACCTGAGGAGGCTCAGAGGCTCAGGGACTTGGGTGCTCCCAGGCCGCCCATCCCTGTTCAGTAAGGAGGTGGACGGACTTGTGCCGCTGCTTGCTCTCCACGGCACTGCCCGCTGCCCTGGCCCCTGCTCAGCTCAAGGGGCCTGTCAGCTTCCTGTCCTGTCCCCAGGGCCCCAGTGAGTGGGGCTGGCGACAATCCAGGTTGTGGGGAGCTGCTGGCCATCAGTGACCCCCTGGGGCCCTGTGTGTCCCCTGGGAGCTGGCGCGGACTGACCTCGTCCTCTCTGCCCCAGCCGCAGAGCCCACGGACGCCCAGGGCAGAGAGTGCCTGCGGCTCTTGCAGCAGCTGCACCGGAGCTCCCAGCAGCTCTGGGAGGAGACCGAGGAGAGCCTGCACTCGCTGCGGGAGAGGCTGCGCCGCCCGGGCGCCGTGGCTCTGGAATCCCTGCTGCTGCTGCGCCAGGCTGACCACGTCCTGCAGGTCCACGTGGAGTAAGCCAGCCCGTCGCGCCCGGGGCTTGGCCTGGGCGTGGTGCCACTGGGCACTAGGGCCCACCTGGTTCAGGGCCTGGGTTCAGCCGGGGGTGGGACTCACCTGGGCTCAGCCTCAGTGGGCGCGGGCACCAGCCTGTGGTGGACTTAGCCACCCTGAGCCCCGGGCTTCCCAGGAAAAGAGACTTGGTGAGCTAAATTGTCTGCTCAGGTTAATCAGGACCAGCGGTCACCAGTGCCTCCAGCCAGAACACTGGCTGGGCCCTCGGGGCTGTAGCCACCCAATGGGTGGGATTTGAACATTCCAGAGGAGCAGCTGTGGCGAGGGCAGGGGCTTGGGTCAGGTGCTGGGGGCCGGCCTGAGGTGTTCTGGTGCTGCCTGCAGGTACCTCGAGGCCTATACGAGCTGCGTGGTGGCACAGGCGTTTCAGAAGGCAGCAAAGAGGAGGAGGTGAGCGTGGGCTTGCAGCGGCCTCTGAGAGTCTGAGAAGATGGGGTGTGGGAGAGGAAGGGTTGGGGGAGTCCTGAGCAGCACAGTGTGACCCCTCCTGAGGCCTCCTGGCCCTGACAGCTCCACACTGAGCCACACTGGAGGAGAGAGGGGGAAGCCCTCCGAGGCCGTGGGCAGAGTCCAGGGAGCCACAGGCGGGGGTGGCCGGCAGCAGGGAAGGAGGCCCCTCCTGCACCGGGTGGGTGGGTGGGTGGTTATAGTCTGGGGTCCCCTCAAATTCCGAGATACTGCTACTCAACTTCGGGCAGAGCTGCCCAGGCTCTGTGTCTGAGTGATGGGAGAGGGGCTGGGGCTGGGGCTGGTCTGGGATCAGGGCGCTTGAAGGTGTGGAGTGGAAGAAGGGAGAGTGAGATGGCCTGTGGCCTTCCCTCCTCTCAGCCAGTACTGGCGGGGCCAGCGGAAGGCACTGCGGCAGCTCCTGTCGGGCGCGAGCACGGAGGGCCCAGTGGGCGCCACGCTGGTGCAGGCGCTCCGCCAGCCCCTCACCCACCACGTGCAGCAGTATGTGCTCCTGCTGCTGAGTCTGGGGGACACCATCAGGGAGGTAGGTAGCAGGTGAGGGGTGTGTGGGGGAGGGGCTGCTGGCACTGCCCACCAGGCCCGTTGCCTGTGGGGAGTTGAGGGAGGGGAGACTGGGACCCAGGCTCAGGGGACCCGCCTTGGTCAGGAATCTGGGTTTGGGAAGGACCCAGCCATGGCTTGTGGACAGTCTGAGGGCACATGGGCCTGTTTTGGGGTGTCCTAAAGAACTGGTCCTTGCCCTGGGGAGTGGGTTCTGAGACAGCTGGCTCCACCTGGTGGAACCAGCAGAGACCCACAGGGCAGGCAGAATCATGTGTGGGTGTGAGGACCCATGTCACTGAGCCCCATTTGGGGAGCCACTGAGTGTTGTGGCCCCCCGGAAACGCTTCATGTCACCTCTCCCCAGAGGAGGAGCTCGCAGGCAGAAAAGGAGCAACGTTGGCTTAGACCAGACCTTGTTCCTGCAGGGGCCAGGCCAGGCCTGGGCGGCCGGCACAGGTTGGGGGAGGCCTTGACAAACCCCTGCCCCCATGGCTCTGTCCCCCCTCAGTGTCACCCCGCCCGGGAGCTGGTGGTGCATGCGGCCACCATCTTTGGGGACCTACAGTCCTTCGTGGGGCAGGCGCTGGAGCAGGCTGTGGCCACACAGGCGCTATGGCCCATGCTGAGCAGCCGGCAGAGGGTGAGTGTGGGGCCGGAGGGTGGTCAGAGGAGTCCCTGGTAGGCAGCCACCTAGTGAGCGGCGTGTGCGGCTCTGCTCTCTGTACCTCAGCCCCTCCCTGGGTCCTGTCTAGCCAGCCCTGCCCGTTTGCTGGCTCTAGGGACAAGCAGTCAGTAGAACTGCGGTGTCACCTGACGATCATACCCCATGGCAGTGCCCATCAGGGCAGCTACTTCCCCTGCGGGGGGGGGGGGGCAGTCCCTGTGTCCCGGGAGGGCATGACAGGCCTGGGTTAGTGGGGAACAATGATCTACTGGGGCCCAGCAAGTAACTGGAACAGGGGACAGGGCCAAGAACTGCCAAGGATGTGAGAGTTGGAGAATTCTGGTGAGGGTTGATGGGGACTTGGCCGGCGGAGCGGGGAGGACAAAATGAAGCTTCAGGAGAAGTTGTGCCGCCCTGCTGGGAGTGGCGGGCTCGGCTCTCCAGGCCCTCGGCTGTGCCCATCGCTGCCCCGGGCGGGCACAGGGGCGCTCCGCTTCCCAGAGCTGGCCTCCACAGAGGCTCAGGGTGTGAGGGGCGGGACCCCAGGAAAGGCAGGGCGGCTGGGCCTCAGTGCTCCCTCTTCACCTCCCCAGGATGCGCTCTACACCCCTGCTCGCCGACTCCTGCAAGACAGCCAGGAGCTGCCCCTGACGGTCTCCCCGCTGCGGGCCGAGCGTGTGCTGCTCTTTAATGACGCCCTTGTCCTGCTGCAGGTGGGGGCGGGGGGCTCTGACCGGAGAGGTCTTGGGCTCACAGAGGTGGTGGGTGTGGTTGAAAAAAGAGTGAGCAAGAGACAGCAAGATGGGCACTGCGCAGAATCTTCCAGAGGAAGGGATGGCTCTCCGAGCAGGCATGGCATTCAGGGCAGCAAAGGTTCAGACCGCGGCAGCGTGCAGTGAGCTCGAGGAGGAGCGGGTGTGGAGGGGCCGTAGCACTGTGAGGAGAGGGTCAGCGGTGAGGCTGTGCTTCCGGCAGGAGGAGCCTTAGAGGGGTGTCCGGCATGAGCTTCAGGGGCCAGGCTGCGTTTCCAGTGGCCTTGGTGCAGCAGGGTGTCTGTGTGGGTGGGGGAAGGCTGACCCAGGCTCCTGCCAGACCGGGGTGGGTATGGAGATGGGGCAGCTGCCCTTGAGGTGGGGTGTGAGGCGGAGTGTGAGGAACCCAGTGCCAGGCACGCCAGATCAAGCAGCCTGGGGGCCCCAGGGTGCCTGCTGACAGGCGCTTGGGGCTCAGACTGGCCAGAGGAGTAGGGGAGCCTCTGGGGGGATCTCCGGATGACACCTGTGCCCTGTCTTCTTGCAGGGCCACAGTGTCCACACCTTTGACCTGAAGCTGGTGTGGGTGGATCCTGGGCAGGATGGGTGAGTGACCCCCTCCACTGACAGCCTGGCTTTCCGCTCCCCACCCCCATGAAACCTGCCCGAGCCTGGGGCTCGCCTTGCCCCGCCCGCCCCCCTCCTGCACAGAGCTGGGGCCTACTCATCATCTCTGTCCAGGTACACCTTCCACCTCCTGACACCTGAGGAAGAGTTCTCCTTTTGTGCCAAGGATCCCCAGGGCCGGGTGAGTGTGGGTGAGGGTTAGGTGTGAGGAAAGGTGACAGACAGGAGGGGAGGGGAAGACACAGACTGCAAGCCTGGGGGGCTCCAGGGGGTGTCAGGCCTCGAGATGGTGTCAGCCTGGGGCCAAGGCATCAGAAGGCTGCAAGGGGTGGGGTATTGCCCTCAGTGAAGCCAGGACCCGGGTCTTGTCCCGGCCCCTCTGAGCAGGCCCTGAGGCTGCAGACAAGGACCTCAGGTCTGGAGGGGCCCTAGGGAGCAGCTGGAGTTGTTGGATCTTCTGGGGGTGAACACCAGAGAGGTGTTGCCTGGAGTTGCCCCAGAAGGCTTCCTCAAGGGGTGCCTCCAGCAGCAGTGACCGTTTGTCTTGTCCCCACAGGCGGTCTGGCAGTGGAAGGTGACCCAGGCAGTGTGTCAGGCCCTGCGTGGGAAGAAGGACTTCCCAGTGCTGGGGGCTGTCCTGGACCCCCCCGATCCCCCCCCCTGCCGCTACGTAGCATACACCTTCCGTGCAGAGGGCCGCCTGTGCCAGGCCACCTACGAGGGCGAGTGGTACCGGGGCAGGCCCCATGGCAAGTGAGTGACCGCTGGGCTGAGCAGGACTCCAAGACTCCCCGTGGGAGGCTGAGGGGCAGACAAGACCCATGTGGAGCTGGTTACCTCAGGGCACAACCACAGAATGTACTTCCTGTGGCCAGTTGGTCAATTTGTCCCCCAGAGTCTCTTTTAAGTTCTCTTGGACAGGAGCTGGCTCATAGCAGGTGTGTGCCAAGTGGCCTTGATGCTGGTGACACTAGTCGGCGTGGGGCAGGCATCAGGTGGCCAGCCTCAGGGCCAGCAGTTCGCTCCTTCTGTGCTGTCAGGAGGGTGGAAGAATAACCCTCATACCTACATAGCGTTACCAGCAGTGGTGGGAATGGTTTGCAGACATTCTGTCTTCACAATCCTTACAAGGATGCTCGGGGGTGGAGGCTGTTATCGCTAGATTTAGAGGTGCAAAAACTGAGAGCGCCTAGCACGATTTTCCCAAGGCCTTGGGCCACCTTATAGGGTGAGCCTGGCCTCAGCAGGTATGCTTTTAAAGGTAGGAAGGTATGCTTTTCAAGAACATGAGATTTCACCCTATGGTACAGCTAGGCAGACAGGCACAGAAAGCAAAAGGGACTTCCAAGGTAGTACGGTCAAGCAGATCCGTTCATTTTTGCCTCCTTCCAGAATGGGCTTGAAGAAGCTTATCAACAAAAAGACAGAAAACACAATATTTTGTCAGAAGGGGGAAAGATGGTAGAAGCTGACTGGAATTTGGCCTAAGCTTAAAGATTAGCTCTGAGCTTCCTGTTCATCAAGGGAAAAAGGGAACTTGGGTGGCTCCAGGGTTCTGCCTATGGGGTGTAGCTGTGAGACTGCTAGGGCAGGGGTGCCAGGAATGGGGAGGGCCGAGAGCCTTTGGCGGTCTTAGAGCTCAGAGGTGATGCCTGGGTGGGGCCAGAGTCCGGTGCAAGGGGAACCCCGGCTTCTGAGATCTTGTGGGTTGAGAGCTGGGTCTGGTGGGACTGATGCCCATGAGCTTGACTGTGTTCCAGGGGAACCCTGAAGTGGCCAGATGGGCAGGAACACGTGGGAGAGTTCTGCCGAGGCCGGGAGCACGGGTGAGGCCGGGCAGGTGCTGGAGGGTGTGCGGCGGGGGAGGGGCTGCCCCTAGGAGGCTCGCTGGAGGCGGGACTGTGTTGGGTGGCCTACGGGGAGTGTGGTGGTCAGGGCCGGTGCTGACTTCCTCCTCCAGCTTTGGCATCCGCCTGGTGCCCCAGGCCTCTGAGGACAAGTACGACTGTTACAAGTGCCACTGGAGGGAAGGCAGCATGTGTGGCTATGGCATCTGTGAGTAAGTGACCCTTGGCCTGGGGCGGGGTGGGCTCCTGGGACAGGCCTGGCCCCTGGATTGAGCTCTGTGAAGCAGGGCCAGTCATTGGTGACCCTCTCCAGGTACAGCACTGATGAGGTGTACAAGGGCTATTTCCAGGAGGGTCTGAGACATGGATTTGGGGTCCTCGAGAGTGCCCCTCAAAGCCCTCAGCCCTGCAAGTACACAGGCCACTGGGAGAGGGGCCAGAGAAGTGGCTACGGCATTGAGGAGGACAGTGACAGGTGAGTGGTCTGCAGTTGCTCCCTGGGCGGGATGGGGGAGGCGCCGGAGAGGGCCCTTACCGACCAGTGCTCCTTGGAGTCAGTGGGGCCATTCTTTTTGTTCCTCCGAGTCTCTGAAGTCCCTCGCTTGCTCGCCACTCCCTGGGGTGTTGCTGAGCTCGCCCGAGGGAGCCCTGGCCTCCCTCGCCCCCCCACCCCACGCCTCCCCTGAGCTACTGGAGAGAAGTTTATGACCCCAGCCTTGTCCTCTCTGACGATGACAGCTTCCAGATGCTGGGCCGTGAGCACATGCCTGGTCCTTCACCTGACAGTCAAAACCTCCGACTCCTCCCACTCCCCATGCCTCCTGGGCACCCCTCCAACCTTCCAGACCCCTGAACATCCCCACATATCTGTTGTCCACTCCTACCTCCCTGGCTTTGCATGTGTATTGATAGCACCTCCCTCTGTGCTTCCCTGGGGAGCCTGCTGAATGTCCTGGGCCTGAGTTGAGTGGATTCAGGCAATGTCATTGCTCCTTATCTGGCCCCCCTGCCCCCCAGCCCACAACAGCAGCACACACAGAGGTGCACAGGAACTGCTCTGACCCAACCCCGGCCCCTCCTCCCCCAGGGGCGAGCGCTACATTGGCATGTGGCAGGCTGATCAGCGCCATGGCCCGGGGGTCATGGTCACCCAGGCCGGTGTTTGCTACCAGGGGAACTTCCAGGCTGACAAAATGATGGTGAGTGGAGTGACCTGTGTGTATCCCGAGCTGCCCCTTCCTTGTACTGGGGCTGAAGTTCTGGAGTCCATCCCACTTTAGCGGCCCCAAAGTTCAGCTGAGGCCTCCCAGGGGTGTGTGGGGGCACAGAGCTGGGTTCCGAAATGCTGGAGGGGGCCAGAACCTGGGCAGGAATCTACTTTAGTCACTCACCTACCCTGGCCTTGGCCAAGTCCCTGTTCTCCCCAGTTCAGTTTCCCCTTTGATAACTCCAGTTACTACTTATTGTAAAGACCTGATGAAGCATCGAGGATCAAAAGCGTGGTAATGATGATGCCAGTGACCTCAGCAAGTGACACAGACCCCAAACTCGATGCCTTTCACTGGGCTCCCTTGCCCATCACCATCTCATGGGAGCCTCCCAGTAGACCTGCGGGTGAGGCTACTGTCCCGAGCATGGAAGTGGCAGACACGAGACTCAGATTGCTCAGCCACTTGCCAGGGTCACACTGTGGCTGAGCGAGACCCAGCCCTCGGAGCTGGGGCCCACCAGCACCTGCCCCCCACCTCCCCGACACCCTGCCAGGAGCCGGGTGCACGGTGGGGCCCTGGGGCTTTTGTGTCTTGCTTGTTTGTTTATGCTCTTCTTTGCTCAGGAAAGAATTGAAGGTGGCAGAGAAGGCAAGAATGGGCACAAACAATAGATTCAGAGCACAAATTGTGTCCCATTTGCCTCCGAGCTTCCTGGCAAGGGAGCCTAATTAGCTCCACGGTCCTGTCTCTAGGGACGGCACTTCTAAGCCAGAGAAGGGAAAACAAAGCTCCCGGGGATGGTTCCTGAGAGGGGATGCCGAGAGGAAGAGCTGGCTCCCAGGCTGCCAACGACTGGCAACGCACCTGGCACAGTCCCGGGAGGCGCGGCAGGGTCCAGGACCCTTCTGCCGGGCCGGTGCCCACGCCCCCTTTCCGACATCTCCTCCCCATGCTAGTCTCCGGGCGCTCCTTCACCCTCCACTCCTTTTCTCCTGGCTTCCTTCGCTAGGGCTCAGGGATCCTGCTCTCTGAAGACGACTCCTTGTATGAAGGCAGCTTCACCAGGGACCTGACCCTTGTGGGGAAGGTAAGGGCCCCCGGGTCCCCGCGCACGCCCCGTTGAGGCCTGGGCTAGTCTCTTATCCCTGTCCCCACCTTGGACCCAGAGCTAAGGGTGTGGGCAGTGTACGGGAAAGGGAGGGGCGGGCCTCTCCCACCCTCACCACCGCCTGTGGGTGGGCACAGCAGCCCTCCCCTGGAGAGTCAAGTGGGACAGGCTGCTGCTTTGAGTGCAGAGAGTGCTGGGGTGACCCCTTCCAGGCCCCCAGTTGGGAACCCCATTCTGTCAGTACCCCCAATGCCTGCAGCAGGTGCACCGTGTCACTACCCTTCAGTGTACTCCTGTCGGAGCTGACCCGGAAGAAGGCAGCTGTGTCCCGCTGGGGACTTTGGAGACGTGGGGGCTCTTTTGGTTTTGTAATCACTGGGGGGCACCATGGCATCTACTGGAGACCAAGAGTGTGGAACAACCCCATGTGACGGGAAATTGCCCCTCCCCAGGCCTCTGCCTACCTCTGGACTTAACCCACCCCCTGCCCCTCTCTGACCTGTGAGTCCCTTCTCTCTCCCCACCTTCTGCGTCAGAGATGAGCCCTGCATGGCCAGCATCACTGTTGGTCGGGGTTTCCTGTAGGCATGGATGATGAGCCCGGGGGGGTGGGCAGATGTAGTGGTCGGTGTGAAGGGCAGCCGTCAGTCTCTGGTCTCTGACCGCACAGGCACGGGCCTGTCGTGATTAGCTGGAAGGGCGACGGGGCAGGCCGTGGACAGACTTCCCCGTCTCCCTTCTGCCTTCCAGGGCAAGGTCACCTTCCCCAATGGCTTTACCCTGGAGGGCTCTTTTGGCAGTGGGTCAGGGAGAGGACTGCACACCCAGGGCGTGCTGGACACGGCTGCTGTCCCACCGGATCCAAGCAGCACCCGGAAGAGGTGAGGACCTGACCTTCTGACCCTGATGCCCAAGACAGGCTGGGGGTGCGCCTGTGTTCCAACCCCAGACTCAGGCCTCATCAGAGGGGTTTTTCTGGACCTCTCCTACTGTTTGGAGAACTCAGAGAGCGCAGGGCATGAAACCCTCAAGTCAGAGATTCTTATAACCAAGGTCATGTGGCAATAATTCTACACTCATTAAAGCAGGAGAAATATATTCCATGCTTTTTTTCTAGGAAGTATGCAATGCAGTTTGCAAAACAAACTGAACAGACAATAGTAAAATAGAAAATGCAAATGTGGCTTGAGCTTAGGAAAAGAAAGGGAGGCCGTGGTTACCACGGAGGCCTGGCTCGGAGTTTCCTGACCACCAAGGAAAGAAGGAAACTGTGTGGAATCGCTGTCATTGTCAGGGGGTACTTGAGAATGGTGGTGATAGACTTCTACCCCATGGGGACAAAGCTCTTAGAAATCTATGGCTCGGAAGACTCTTGCTATGTGTGTTGAGGAAGTCTTGGGTCTTACTGAGGAGGGAATCTGTGGGTGGTGTTCTTATCCAGCATGCCCCCAGCAAGGGGCGTTGACTGCCCCTTGTTCCTGCCTGCTTCTCCCCAGCAGCAGGCACGGACAGTGGCAAGCCCTAGGGGCAGGACCCAGTGGGGTAGGGCACAGGTCTAGGAGAACCTGAAGGTGTCATGGCAGGGACAACATAGCCAAGCCTGGAGCCCAGGAAGGACCCAGGTGTGGTGGGAGGGCAGCTGGGGTCCCGGGGCGGGGGAACCCTGGGCACTGGGCACCTGTGTCTCTTAGGCCAACACCCTTCTCTCTGCACTTGGCTCTTCCTGCCTCTTTGTCAAGGCTCTGTGTGTTCTTCTGTTTTCTGCTGGTTCCCTTTTCCCTCTTTGTCTCTGCTTTTCCTCCTGCAGCCCTGCAGCTCACCCCTCTCTGTGTCTCCCATCCATCCACCCTTCCTAGCCCCTACTCTGGATACCCCCAGGCCCCCCAAGAACTTGGACAGGGTCCTGCCCACCGCCTCTCCATCCCTACTTCCGGTTCCCAATGCCTCCATTGCAGGCAGCTGGGTCTGGGCTCCTTCCCGGTGGAACGCCGCTGGCAGGGCGTCTACACCCCCTTCCGGGACTTTGTGAGAGCCGGCTGCCCTGGGGAGCTGCAGGAGGCCCTGCTGGGCCTCCATGTGCCCAGCCCGCGGGAGCTGCGCAAGTCCCAGGAGTGTCTGTGCTGCGAGAGGTGAGCTCCCGGCGTGTGTGCGTGCGCATTGTGTGTGGCCAGAGGGCCAATGTTGGGGGGCTCAGAGTGGGACAGGGAGAAGACTTCCTGGGCGTGGACCTGGGCCCAGGGTAGGTGAGACGCATGTGCGTGCTGCCCCAGGACCCACCCTGAGGACAGTGCAGGCAGAATGGACGACATCCTGGACGAGCTGCTGCAGCACCGGGAGCCTGAGGCCCTGCAGCAGTGCCTCAGGAAGGTGAGGGCCTGGGGGAGGGTGGCCTCCGCGGACCTGACGGTCTGTTCCCTAGTGCTGACCGGAGGGAACAGGCCTGCGGGTCCCTTCTCAGGGCCTTGGTGCTCCCATCGGTGCAGAGGGAGCACCCTTGGGAGCCCTGTCAGCACGCCCTTGATGCTGGCATCTCTTGTTGCCTGTACCGGTCCAGGCTCTGAACAACTCCCTGCATCCCCTTGGGAAGTTGCTCCAGACGCTGATGCTCACCTTCCAGGCCACCTATGCTGGCATTGGGGCCAACAAGCACCTGCAGGGGCTGGCCCAGGAGGAGGTGAAGCAGCATGCCCAGGAGCTGTGGGTGGCTTACAGGTGAGTTTGGTGGCACATGCGGGCGGGCACTACCCAGTGACCCCAAAAGCTAGGGCTCTGCCTTTCCATGAGTCTGCTCTGCCTGGCACCCTAAGCAGAAAGGGTGCTTCTACCTCAGGTCTAGATCCAGAAGGAGTCAGAGGCTGGTCAGTCAGTATGCAGCTGGTGAGCGAAGGGGCTAGAGGGTGGGGAGATGATCCAAGGCCTGACTGCAGGCAGAGTCCAAGTCCCACCCGGGCCCAGGGCTGACCCCTGAGCCCCGGAAATGCTAACCCCACTGTCAGCTGAGTCTGAGTCTGTCTCAGACCCCATCTCCACTTGCCGCGGAGCCATGGCCCCATAAACACTACAGACAGGGCCTTTTGAACTGAGGTGCTTCTGTTGGGGTTGCCTGGACTTAGGGGCTGATGTCTATACTTCAGCCTCCTCGCTGCTGAGGTTCGGGTAGTTGTCTATGCACCTCAGTCTGGGAGTGAGGTCCCCCGGCCTTGGTCTTTGGCGACAAGAGGGTGGGGCTCCACGCTGCGCCTCTCTCGCTGGTTTGCAGGAGTATGCTCAAGGTTGCCTTGCAGCGCAAGGGCCTGGCCCCGGAGGCGGAAGACGACGCAGAGACGAGGTGACCGCCCAGGCCCCCATGGGATCAGTGGGTTCCCCGCTGCTGGCGCAGCCAGGCTCACGTCTACAGGCGTGACCTGTGGCCTCCCTCGGGGGAGGCTGGTGCTTCTAGGGAAGTGTCTGGGGCTCATGCTGTTGACCAAGCATTGTTCATTGACCGTGGGAGGACCTGAAAGGCCCATGACCTCTACTCCTTGGGCAAGCCAGGAGGGGGCACTGCCCCTCATCAAATGCACGTTTGTTCTAAATGTGTTACCCATCCCCATCTCTCAGGTGCACAGAGGGTGAGCTGCTCCCCTAGGTACCCTCATTCTCTGAGCACACAGCTAGGCGACTGAGGCCCGGCAGCAGCTGAACCTAAAGAAGAATTAAGAGGGCCATTAAATCTGTCTGTCCAGTTCTCTGAGATGAAACCTTACAGATGGCCTTTAGATGCCGGACGCAGAGATCCCGGTCAGAGAGGCCTTTCTGTCGCTGGCTGTGTTGCCAAAGGAGTGGGCTGTGGGGTTAGGCATTATGGAGCACTTCCCTGGAGTTCCGGAAGCCATGGAGCTGGAACCGGACTTGTCTGGGACGAGTGCTGAGTGCCAGTGCTCTCAACGCAGGGCCCTGCTTTTGTTTTCAATCAAAATCCTGCTCTGCCTGCCGCGGAGGTTCTCAAAGTCCAGTGAGAGGCCGAGGGGGCCACTGATGGCAGTGGGCCGTGACGGGAGCAGGAACAGGCTGGGGGAAGGCCTTCTCGGGGAAGGAGGAGGCTGGGGCACTGCTTGCTGTGGGTGGGGGGCTCTCTGGGGTTTTTGAGCGCGCCCCGGCCTGCTGCCCCCAACCTGTCCCGGCCGCTCTCGCCCAGGGACCTGCAGGTGCACAGCTTGGTGCTGCCTCTCGTGCTGCCCAGCTTCTACTCGGAGCTCTTCACTCTCTACTTGCTCCTTCACGAGAGAGAGGACGGTCTCTACAGCCAGGGCATCGCCAACCTCAGTCTGTTCCCCGACACCAAGCTGCTTGAGTTCCTGGACGTGCAGAAGTAAGCCTCCCACGCCCCGGCCGTGTCTGCGGGCTCTTGGGTAGCAGAGCATACAAACCCAGCTCACACGCTTCAGCAGGAAGGGGTGGTGGTGGTGGTGAGGTGGCTCACGCACCCCCAAACAGCCCCGGGACTGTGAGAGCTGGATTTCAGGTGTGACGGGATCTAGGTGCTCAACCCCATGACAAGGGAAAGCAACTCCCCACTTTCTCTGCTGATCTGTTTCTTGTGGCAGATAGGCAGCACTCAGTCACCCGAACTTTATGCGCTCACCCACGTGGCGTGGCCGGGTTGGCCAATCTGCTGCCACGTCTCCCCGGCGCTGGGGCAAGGCCAGCTGTGCTTGGGCTGAGAGTGTGGGGGTGCGGGGGGTGGCGGGGGGCTGGGGGCCAGAGATCCTCAAGGGAAACTGAAGAAGCATGTTCCGGCCTCCTTTCTAACCTCAGTTGCCAAAACACCCTGTTCTCCTCAGCCCTCTGGTCCCTCAATACTATGAGTGACCCCTGCCCAGGGAGGGCGTGGACCGTCTCTCCTCTTGCCTCACGGGGCTGCAGCTTCCACCCAGCCTCCAGCCCTGTTTCCTCTCCTATCAGTCACCAGTTTCCAAGGGTGCCTCGACCCTGCCAATCCCCCCCCCGGACCCCCCCACCGGCTCCTGGGCGTGGCTTACTCCGCTCCAGCCTCCCTGCTCCACTGTCTCCCCGAGTTTCCCCCGCGTGCTGCCCGCGCCCAGCACCCGCCTGCCAACCAGCCTGCCCAGGCCCACCCAACAGTCTCTGCACCCCTCTGTACCCTCTGGCTGACCACTAGCACTCTGTCAGGCGGACCCCTCGGCCCCACCTCACCCTTCCCTCCCTATCACCCCCTGTCTGGGGGTGGGATGAGGGCTGCCTCCCCGAGAAGCCGCTCCTGCCCCCCTTGCCTTGGGCCCCACGCTGCACCATGGGATGCCATTGGGGACTCACTTCCTGCACCCTGCCCGCCTGGGGGACCTGGTGGCCCAGGACTTTCCCCTGACCTCAGAGCCTGCCCCTGCTGGCCACAAAGCCTCCCTTCGCCTTTCTTTTCAGGCACCTGTGGCCTCTCAAGGACCTCACGTTGACAACCAACCAGGTGAGAAGGTGGGCCTGTTGCCTGCCCCCATGGGGGAGCACTGAGCCTGAATTGGGCCCCGAGTTTGTTCGGGCATCTGCTGATCAGCTCTCTGCCCCCAAGGCTGGCTGGAGGGGCCGGCAGAGGGGTGAGGGAGGAGCTCACGGCTCCCAGCAGTTCTGATTCCCCATGTGGGTGAGGGGCAGCTGGACCACAGTGGCCAGACTCCTTCCCTTGCCTGTGTGTGGCCATGGGTGCCTCAGTTTCCTCATCCGTGGACATCCTCCCTGCCACAGTTGTAGTTTCACCTCCTGAGCTTGGTGGGAGGCTGGTGCAGCTGGCCAGTGGTTCTCGAAGTGCCTGTTAGGCCAGCGGCTAGCCAAGCAGACTCTGGCTCTACCTCAGGCTTGCTGAGTCAGAAGCCCAGGAAGTGGCCCGAGGACTTGTGTTTCAACAAACTCTTGGGTACGAGACCCTTTGACAGAGGTGCTCAGAATCGGGAGGGTCCTAGGGACCACTGGCCAGAGAAGTATTATCTGCCTTATCCATTTTCATCCTCTTAATCTGCTGGAGTGATACTTTGCAGTTGAGTAAACTGAGGCATGGGATGAACTGTGACTTCCCTGGGGTCATTCAAGTCTTTGGACAAGATGGTGCTGGAGCCAGTGGTAGGGCAGGGATGGAGTGGGGGGAGGGTGTAGCTCGGGGCCAGCCCTGGCTCTGAGAGGAGGGGGTGACAGAATGGGGGGGACCATAGCCTGTTCCATCCTGCTCTGTCCACCACACAGAGATACTCCCTAGTCAGAGACAAATGCTTCCTGTCAGCCACAGAGTGTCTGCAGAAGATCATGTGAGTCCATGCCCTGGGGAACAGGAGGGCGGGAGGCACAATTATGGGGCTCCTGCATGGGGCTGCTCAGGGGCCTCGGTCTGGAGCCCCTCCCCTGTGTCAGGACCACAGTGGACCCCCGGGAGAAGCTGGAGGTGCTGGAGAAGACCTACGGGGAAATCGAGGCCACTGTGTCACGGGTGCTGGGCCAGGAGCACAAGCTGCCCATGGACGACTTGCTGCCGCTGCTCATCTACGTGGTGTCACGTGCTCGGTGCGCCGCCCGGCCCAGCCAAGCTGTGGGTGGGCTGCGGAGACCCCTCCCCTCCACCCAGTCGTCAGGACTTATAGACACAGGCTTGCTTGCCTTTTTTTTTTTTTTTTTAAGATTTATTTATTTATGCATACAGAACCGGGGTACAGGCCAGGAGTGCAGGGGTGGTGAGAGGATTCACCAGAGACAGAGTGGGGAGCAGGACAGGAGGACTGACGAAGTACACTGCTGAGGGGAGCAGGGGGAGGGACAGGAGAGGTCTGCTGCACCTTGTGGGGTCACCTCCCAGGTTGGGGATTGGCCTCATGCTGCAGTGGCTGTGATAGCTTCATAGTGCTGCACTTTAACCCGTTGCGCCACCAGGGAGGGCCCTAGACATAGGCTTTCTTTATACATGAGGGAAGTGGAGGTCCAGAGAGGAGAGCTCACCCCATGGTCTCACCCAGGGTATGTGGGCACCATTCCCCCACTGTCCATCATCGAGGCCAGGGTTCCTTCCCCAGCTGCTTGGTGCCATCGGTGGGCTCCCTTCTTACTGCGGGCTGGTTCTTTTTCAGAATCCAGCACCTGGGAGCCGAGATCCACCTGATCCGTGACATGATGGACCCCACCCACACAGGAGGCCTGTATGACTTCCTGCTCACAGCCCTGGAGGTGAGGGGCGGAGGAGGAGGGCCAGGCAGGAATGTCCTGGGTGCAGGAGCAGACCCCTTCCTTGCCTCAGACGCTATCATGGAAATAAGCTCAAGTGGATGGCCCCCTCCACGGGGAGGGTCCTTACAGAGCCCTGGGTTCTGCCGTGGTGGTGGTGGGGGGGTGCATAGTGCATCCCAGTCATAGGGACCCCAGGGCCCCAGGACTTCATTTCCTTGCTGAGGGCTGAGTTGGAGCCACGGTGGGCCTGGGAGGTGGGCATGCCCTGGCATGAGGCTGGGAGCCTGTGCCTGCATCTGGGGCAGACAAGCCGGCTGGCCCAGCGCGCCTCTTTTCCCTAGTCCTGCTACGAGCACATCCAGAAGGAAGACATGAGGCTGCACCGCTTGCCCAGCCGCTCGGACTTCACGGAGCTCTGGTAGCTTGGTCTCGTCTGCAGAAATGAGAGAGGCCCTGGTGGACTTCCTGGAGGAGCGAGCCGGCCCCAGGGGCAGTGGGCAGGATGGACTCGGTGGCGGCTGTGGAGGAGATGAGCATGAGGGGGAGCCTCATGGGGTTGCCCTGACTGGGGTGAGGGGAGGGAGGGCTTCAGAGCTGGAGGGTCCCTCGACCTGTAGTCACTCACAGACTGAGCCTCAGCTTCTCCTTGCCTGGGCCTCACACCAAGCGATTGAACCTTCTTGGGCCTCAGTGTTACCATCTGTAAAATGGAGGACTGGATCATGGTGTGGGACCTTCCATCCATCGGGCTGGATTTTAGAGTTTTCTAGAAATCTTACTTTTAGTCCGTTGGGCTGTAACTGAAACCCTCATGTCACTGCCAGTCTCCTTCGCTGTTTCTTCACTCCTGGGCAGAAGCTTCCATGCTGCTAGAAACATCTATTTGTTGGGCCTCCTTCCCATGAGGACTTCCTGAGGACTTGCCTCGGAGCTATAAGGCAGGGAAGTTCCCAACCCACTGAGGCTTGCTGGGTAGCCTCTGGCCAGGCTTGAGGGGGTGGACTTAGAGTCTCTGAACTGCAGTCCATACACCCCAGATGTCAAGGGTGGGGATGGGACAAGCTGAGGTAGGGACAAGAGGGAGGAAACTCACTTGGCTTCCTCACTGCCAGCAGCCCCAAGAGGCCCATGAATGACACACTTGACCTGTGGGCCTGAGGGGCAGCAGGGTCATGGAGCGGCTTGTGCCCTGACCTCTGGTTCAGGACTCCATTCCACGTCATCAGGGTAGGGTGGTGAGTGGGAGCTCAGAGCTTTTAATGGTGATTTTAAGTGGGACCAAAGAAGATGGAAGCTGAGTCTGAGGCAGCTTCATCTCTCTGGAGCCTCAGTTTCTCCTCCCCACACAGATGGGGCTTGAGCCAGGGGGACCTGTATGTCCGCCTCCCCCAGGAGGGGCCAGTCTAAGAGGTCAAGCTTGCCCTGTACTGTTGGCAAATCAGGTCACGCCTCTGGGCTTCAGGTGGGCCTCCATGAACAAGCATCCAAGCATGGGCCCCAGCTGTGAGAGAAGGGCTGGGAGGCACCGAGAAAGTCCACTCACACCTGAGCCCAGGGCTGAATTCCCATGAGGAGCCTCGGGGCAGGCGGCACATGAGGACGCTCAGAAAATGTGGGCAGGAACTCCCACAGGACAGGACCATGGAAGTGGCAGCCTGAAGGAAGGGTCTGGCTGTGCTTTTTCCAGGAACCTGTGGTGTCCCCAAGGGGGATGGACTAAAGGTAACCGGGATCCCATGAACCCTCATGCTCACCAGGACTAAGGTAGTTAACCAGCATTTTAATCCTTTCCAGCTGCAGCCTCACTCCAGAGACCCCCTCCCCACTCTACCCTGCCTCCTTCAGCATCAGCGCACCCCGCACCCCGCACCCCAGTGCCCAGCTGCGGTCAGACTGACCAGGGCTCGCCATCCACCCTCTTGCCGGGTCTTGCCACAGCCCCTGATGAACCGGCACTTGTGGACACTTGTGGAATTGAGACGGGGAGATGATCGTGGGCTGTCTGGGTGGGTCCAATCTCATCACAAGAGTGGAAAAGGGAGATGGAAGAGGACCAGAGGTGTGAGTACTGTGTGAGTACTGAGGGTCAGCCAGAGGGGTCGGTGCTGCTGGCTTTGAAGATGGAGGTACTGGGGGTGGGGAGAACACAGGAATGTGAGAGCCTCTCCAAGCTGGACAAGGTAAAGAAATGGATTTGCGTCTATAGCCTTCCAAAGGATGGGCTCCCTAGGATGTTTACAACAGGTCTTCCTAAAATATGTCATGGGGCATGCGGGCTTTTTTCAGGTCATCAAGGCCTTCCATGCCCTTAACTACCTAGAAGAATGAAAATTGGGGCATTACCCAGAATGAGGATTTTTATCAGAAATAATCCTATCTGAGAAACTTATTTATATGACAGAGCAAACATCTAATTATAGAGCATCTGATCTTCATCTTGAGTCGTCCTCTCTTCATCATGTGGGGTTCTCCTCTTTCCTTGAAGTCCTAGTCCCTTTCCTGAACTGGAAGCCCTGTATCCCCTTCCTTAGCTTAGGAGATAAACCCTCATTTGGTTCTATTTCTCTTTAGAATCTATATCCATGTATTGATAGATTCCCTATACACATGTAATTATATTTGTTCTTTTTTCCCACTAATCTGATGTGAATTTGATTGCTCTACCAGTCCAAGAAGAATCCAGAAGGAATTGGGGGATATTTCCTCTCTGTACCTACACCCCAGAGAGGAACTAGGCCCTACCAGCATTTTGATTGTAGCCCAATGAGAGCTATGTTGATTTTCTGACCTACAGGACAAAAAGAGAATTTGTGCTGACTTAAGTCACTGAATTTGTGATAATTTGCTACAGCAGCAATAGAAAACACAAACATTGGTTAACACTTTTACTGGTGTGGTCACACTTCCTGCCCCGACTTCAGCTAATACAGGGACTTCCTCCGACTCCCCAAGGCCCGCATGGTCCCCTTCGCGCCAGGTGCTGGACAGTACTCTCTAAGCCAGCCCACCTGTCCCACCTCCTTCTCTGTGCTGGTCGGCTCTGACTCTCAGGAAACTCTTCCCGCTGATGGCCTCTGGCTCTCTGATCTTTATTGCCAGTCCATGACCCCTGGGTGGTGCAAACCCCTGTGTGTGAGCCCCAGGTTCCCAGGAAGCCAAGATTCTGTTTCCTCCCGGCTTGAGATGACTGTAGTTTATAAACACCCCGGTGGTCTGTGAGGCCGCTGTGAGGGGCTGCTTTTGGCCCAGCCTTGCCCAGTCTTCCTCACTAGACACTCCTGGTCATGTGGCCCCCTCCCTCTCAGGGTTGGGGTAGGTGACAAATCACACATCCTCTAGTTCTGTTTCTTAAAAGGGGATGAGGTCGCTTTTTTTCACACACCTTCACAAAAATAAATCCCAGGTGACTCAAGCAATTAAGAGGTAAAAATAAAACTAGAGACCATTTAAAGGAGCATTTAAGAGCATCAACTCTTATTCTTGCTGCCTTGGGGTTTTTGGGAGGAATGAAAACAGCACCTGTAGGCTATACAAAAGCTGGACAATCTATCCTAGAAGTAAAGGGAAAATGAAGTCTAGTGCATGTAAATAAATAATAGATTTACTGTTGGTGAGAGGAGTGTCCAAGACAACCTCAATGTTGCAGGAGCTGTTGATGGAGAAACCCTGGTGGGCTAGATAACACGGGGAAACCTTTGTTGACTGAGAAAGTTATGAATCTAGCTTTGAGCCACTATCTTTACAAAAAATATGACTTATTTTCATGCATGTGTTACATATCTCGTTGAGGGTCATAGAGTAAATCCTTAGAATGCTCATTAGACCTGCTGGTTTTACTTCTTATCCCTTGTCAGATGTTCTCATCAGAACTCAGGAGGATAATGTGACATTTGGGGGTGAACATACAGTGTAGTGGCCCTGCACTACAGGTCAAGATAGAAAAGATCTCCATGTCCGCTATTCACTGGAATAAAAGTCTCAATGATTGTCAAAGAGTTTATTAGACAGTCAACGTGAGGATTTGAACTCAGGATGCAGCCCAACAGATTTGAACTCTGAGAACTGTGTCAACCATCGCAAGTTTGAATCTAATTTATTTAAGTAGGAATGGGGAGTCTTGGACAATAAAAATATAATTATTGGGCCATCCCTGGTGGTGACATGGGTTAGAGCACAGCACTAACCGCAGCCACTGCAGCACGAATTTGATCCCCCCACCAGGGAAGTGACCCACAGGGCACGGCAGAGGGGCTCTTGACTTTAAGTTATGCTGTCTTTGCCCGGAGCAAGGCAATGCTGGGGTTTAATCTCTTCCTTTCCAAAGATTGCACCGAGGAGCTGCAAAGGTGAGGTTCTCCTTTCAATTCTCCTTTTCCTGCTCCTTGGTCACTAGTGGAGGTTGAGAAGCCTGGGTTACTGGACAACAGTACATTTCTGAATAGTTGCTTTACAAACTTCAAATGTAATTTGGTGGCTTTATTCTTTTGTCTGCTAGAGCAGAGAGGGGTCCGTCCCAGAACATTTTACAGTGTGTTCACATTGTGACCTCCTCTTGGTGGTGTGAGATCTAGAGCGGAGGGTGATCCAGACCTCACAGAAAACCACCATGCTTGACCTGGTTTCATTGAATATGTCTTTCCTGCAGACTGCCGACCTGGAAAACTGTGGCGATGCTCTCCAGGGTCTAGTGACCTGGGTGTCTGTGCAAGTCAGTGACAGAGCCCTCCTGCCATTCAGTGATGGGGTGTGCAGACTTTGTCATTCAGATGGCAATGAAGAAGAGGAGGTTCCTGACCAGCTTCCATAGACAGTGCCTTGGGTCACAGGACAGACAAGAATTGTGGCATTAAATGCCCTGCTATCAGCCCTTTGCATCCTTTCCCCTGGTGTGGTGACCTTAAAAATCAAAACCACAGGATGGTGTGATACTGCAATTTAGTTGCTCTGTCTGTCTGTCTATCTATTCCTCTGGTTATTTAGATGACCTAAGTGTATTTCTCATACACATTTGGTCCACACCCACAGTTCCTGCCTCACAGCTCCCTCAAACCTTGGAATTTCCGGAGCTATTAGAACAATGGGAGCATCTTTTGTCTCAGAGCGCTCAGTCCTTTGCAATTTCCTGAATGGAAAGAGCAATGAGAACACCTTTTGTGACAACATTTGAATGCTTGTTTTTAACTCCTGAGAAAGCTTTTGAGCCATAGTTCTTCACATGGGGGCTATCTGTCAATGAAGGCAACTTTTGGAAAACCTGTGGGTGGAGGCTGATGGCCCTGAACTTCTGGGAGGGAACAGGGCCTGGAGGTGGAGGGGCCAGTGGCCAATGACTTGCCCAATCATGCCTGTGTTAGGAAGCCCCAGTAGAAGCCAGAGTAGAGGGGTGTCAAGAACTTCCTAGTTGGGGCACCAGAGCAAACCCTGAGCTGCCGGTGACATCCTGAACGGACTCCACCCTCCCGCCGTCTTCCCCACCCCATCTGCTCCTCCGACAACTCAGGATCCAACCATTGCAGCTGCTGCCAGGCCCGAAGGGGCTGCTGAGGAGGAGGAAGCTACGTGGCCACGTTGAAGGTGGAATGGGGGTGGGAATCAGGGGCTGAATAGTGCTCCCACTCTTTCCTCTCTTCGCAGACGCTGGAACTTTGGCACATGGGATAGTCCCATTCTCTTAGACTGTGGCAGCTGCCATCCAGACCTTGTGGTGGATTCAGCTTGGGTGCTAGATTTATTTATTTGTGTATACAGAACTGGGGTACAGGCCAGAGGTGCAGGTGTGGTGAGAGGATTCACCAGAGACAGAGCGGGGAGCAGAACAGGCAGATCGACGAAGTACACTGCTGAGGGGAGCAGCGGGCGGGTCAGAAGAGGTCTGCTGGCCATGTGGGTCACCTCCGGGGTGGGGATTGAACTCATGCTGTAGTGGCTTTAGCTTCCCGTGCTGTGCTTTATCCTGCTGCGCCACTAGGGAGGGGCCTGAGCGCTACATTTTGAACATTAGCTCTCTCCTTCTCTCCTAGCCCCTTGGGCCCGCATCAACTTCTGGCTGTGTTCCTGCTGGGAGGTGCCTTGGGTTCCTTCTCTTGGAGACTCTGCTCTTGGGCCTTGGTTGTTCACAGTGGGCCCTGCCTGTTTGGCTCCATGGCTATCTATCCATGGAGGATGGCTAATTTGGAATTTGATGGGAGTTTGTATTTTGAAATTTTCTCTTCTCTACTGCTCTATTCTATTTGAACCTCTCACAGATTCAAACTCTCTGAGCATACCAGATCTTGATGGGTTTGCATATGTGGGCATGGACCCTTAGAACAGGCAACATTGAATTCCCCCTAATACTGTGGAGCCCCTGGGCACCCCTCAGTTTTGCCCAGTATCACCATCTCTGTAAAACCTTTGGTCACTTGATTTTTAGTGTCCAATATTCATTATTGTTTATTTTCATGATGAGGTTTGTGTGTTCAGACCTCAGCTCCCTATGAGTTGCCTGCTTCTTTAAAAAAAAAAAAATTATACTTGTGTACAATGAGACCAACCTTTTCTAGGACTGTTCATTTGTAGGTGTGTGAAAAAGAAGATGGACCAATGTGAGTGTCCCTCGTGCCTTTCCACTTGACCCCAAGCTCTGTCATAGGCCCCTGGGACTAGACCTTGCTTGCCTGACCTTCCTGCTCATGGCCCCAGGGCCTAGGCCGGCCAGGTAGGCAGCAGCAAGGCACAGGCCCTCGGCTCTGCACAGCAGTGACTTCACAGCCAGCTAAAACTTGATGGGCATAGAAGACTTGTTACAGGGCACCCCAACGTGAATTGGGTTGCCTGTCTGTGGGTCTTCACCCGCACGCTTACGATTCAATCGTATTATGGACACACTCAAAAGGTTAAATAATGATTTATTTATAAGGAGAAAGGTAAAGGAATGACCCAGGGAAAGAGGGAGAGAAACACAGGTTAGCTAGGATGTCCTGCCAGTTCTGCTGACGTGGACTCCACCGGCACACTGAAAACCGATTGAGCGCCAAAACGATCAGCTGTGAACCACCAGGCCAAGAGCCTCCCAGAGCCCACGTGTCCGGTTTTATCCCAACCTGTTTGCTCAGCTCCGCCCTCACATCCCGCGTGCTTCTCCTTGGTACTGATGGGATTTGGAGTTCCAGCATCTGGAGTGGGGGCGGAGTCCATGAAACCTGTACCTGTTACAGACTGACCTAGAAGTGATCTAGGGCTCTTTATCCAGCTAAAACTCATGCCCCTGCATGGATACTAAAGATGCTAATAAGCAGTGGGAAGGGTGAAGAAGCATATGACTCTTCTCCACTGGCCAAGACAGGCTCCTGGCTACCCCACCCTGATAATCAGCCCCCCATGACCCAGGAGACTTCCTGTCCCTCTTCTACTGTTGATCCACAATACATGTTCTTCCCTTGAAATCTTCAGATTTTGGGGGGTTAGGGGTGAAAGCCAGGCAAAGACCCTAGGATATTTGCAATTTTGGCATGTGATTGCTTCCTACCTGGGTAAGGACATTCCGTGAGAGAAGGGAGTTTTTCAGAGCACTGACCTGTGGAAAACTGACCTTTCCTTAACTTGAAACTCCTTTTAAAATGTGAGGGTCCTGAACCAAAGGAATGTCAGATTAGAGAGAATAGATATGTTGCAACGAATGACTAGGTCCAGAGAGGACTTTGCTGCAGGGAAAACATTTTTCCTTCAGAAAAATTTCCTAATTTTCTCTCACAGTTTAAGTTATTCATGCAGGCGTTTATGCAGCAGAACACGGCTTTTTGGACTTATTTGTATATTTTGGCCTAGGATATGGGTTATAAGTGATCATTGTGCCCACGTCATTAAAAATAAACAAAATACTTTAAAATTAAATGAGGTTAGCACTGGTTACTCAGATGCACTGTGCGTGGACTCCCTGAGGGCGCTTCCCAGCTAGGCAAGACAGCCAGTGGAAAAGGTGGTCTGGACTTGTCCCCATTTAGTTCAAGGTCAAGGACAGCACATCTGTCCTGCTCAGCACATCCAGGGCAGCCTCGCTGGCAGACTGACTTTACATAGGACAGAATCCCAGAAACTTCCTCTTAAGGTTAAGGTGGAGTCTGCAGTTGCCGATTTAAACTTTCTTACCTGGATTAACGCCTGCCACCTTCTGAAGGTGTGAAGGCTGGTGGCATTTGTTCAGCTGGTGGATCCCAGGAGCCAGGGGGACTTGGCTGCGGCCAGGACTGAAGGCTGAGTTCATGCTGCCATGTAAAGCCCTATTCACAGCTGCTTTAATTACACGCTGTAAAATCAAACTAAATGAATTTGGCCCTGACCTGTGCTAGTCAGAAGAGTCAGAGTGGGTCTCAGGAGAAATCGCCCCCAAGCTAAGACAGTCCAGAAAAGAGGTGTGGGTAGTGTTGGGAGATGATTTTCTGTGGGCTTCCACTGTTTCGCACAGCTGAGGAGCAAAAGCATTGGCTATCTTTGTTCTAGACTGTCTTTTTTCAAGGATGTTTTTATAATGAATGACCTTTCAGAGAAAGGGCAGGTTTGCTTCTGGACTTGGAAGAGAGAAATAATGCTTTCTTTCCCTCAGGGCAAAGAGCAAGCAAGTTTACTGCTTCTTACAAAGTTCTTACAAAACTCAAACTGTTTAAGATTTGGGTTCCTAACTTAAGAGTTAGTTCCCCTGGTGCCCCATGGAAACTAGAAATCAAGATTTCTGTTATTGCTGATACTCTGATCACTGCTATTGCTGTGAGTAACCAATTGTACTTTGTCTCTGATCCAGGAGTCTCGTGGCTTTTCCCAGCACCCATGATACTGTTCAAGCTAAAGTGTTAGCTTGCAAATTGGGTAAAATCCCAGACATTCCTTAACGCTCGATAAATATATATATTGAAAGCAAGTAGAATGACTTTCTTTGCCAGTGGTCTACCTTATACCCTAAATTAGTTTTTCTCCGGAAAGCCCCCTGGGAGGGATTTCAATGCAACCATTGTCCAGTTCCATGCATGCAGTTCAAGAGTCGGTGTGGAATGAAGCCTCTGTCACCCTGAAACAGGATGTCAGTTGACATATCAAATCTTCACTCAGTCCTCCCTAGACTCTGTGGGGGCTGCCTCTAGAGTAGGGGGGATCCTCAGCTCCTCTGGGGTCAGTGCTAGCACGAGGCCTCCATGGCAGCCATGGCCACTTGTGATGTGCTCACGATAGAGTCCATGTCTGACTCACTGAGTTCATCCTGAAAGGCCTCTAGCCACTTTACTTTCCAGAACAAGGCCTGTCTGACACTTCACAGTACCTGGAAGCTGATTCCAGGATCATTCGCCTGCTTGACCTCACATCCATTCCAGTCCCCTCTGTTCTGTCATGTCAATGTCCTGAGCCCTGCGAAGTAACTCTATTCTCCTGCTGCCCCCAGACTCAAGGGGCTCATCGTTCGGCACACTCCAGCCAATTGGCCAGGCCCAGTCAGAGATCCCTGGTCAAGTGAGTTTTATTATTTGAATCATGTGAGAGAGCAGGAGATCACTGTCTAACCACCATCGCAGCTTCCTAAAGAGAATTGGGATTTTTATAGGATGGTCGATACTGAAGGGGTGGCAGCAGGTAGCATGTCCAGAATCTCGTTTGTACCCGCAAAATGTAATCTCATGACCAGATCGTGCCTCTGGTTGAGTCCCAGGCTCCGAAAACAGTAACCAAGCCCCCTTTTGGGCAGGGATATTATTTTTAATACTTTCCTTTTTTTTTAAAGGTTTATTTATTTATTCATACAGAACTGGGGTACAGGCCAGAGATGCGGAGGGTGAGAGGACCCACCAGAGACAGAGTAGGCAGATCTATGAAGTACACTGCTGAGGGGAGCAGTGGGTGGGTCAGCAGAGGTCTGCCGCACCATGTGGTCACCTCCAGGGTGGGCGGGGATCGAACTCATGCTGAAGTGGCTTAAGCTTCTTAGTGCTGTGCTCTAAACCGCTGCACCACCAGGGAGGGCCCAGGGATATTATTTTTAAGTGGACAGCAAAAACACAAGGGAATGCTAGGCCTCGGAGGGTCTTCCCTGCACACATTGGCTTGATCACTTTAGGTAGAGTGAGAGCCTGGTCTTTAGCTAAACAGCTCTAGATGCTTCCAAGGGTTTGTCCTGACAACTCAGGTTTACTTTGTATGCTTTCTGCCTTTTAAGTAACACCAACCACTTCCCTCAAATTTTCTGCAGACCTGCTTCCAGCCAGTGGGTGGTGCTTCATGGAGGGAGGGAGGGAGAAACAAAGGTGCCAGCCAGGGCCTTTCTCACAGGTCACCTCTGGTGGGGCAGCTCTACTGCAGCTCCAGCTGGCACCGCTCCCTCCACAGAGCCAGGCCTTGCTGGGGACACTCCTCTGGCTCCAGTCCCCCTCGGTCAGGTCACTTTCTTTGTCCCCCTGGGTCTAGGGATTAGAGCAGCTCTGCTGTCCGTCTCTGGTTACCTCTGGTGCCCAGTTCTGCGGCTCACCTTTGTCACTCGATCGTTATTTACATGCCCTCCTCCGCCCAATGCCCTGTGCGGGCTGTGCACTTTCCTTTCTCACCTGACTGTCCCCTGGCACGAAACTGTCCTGATCAAGAACAAGTTCTCTTACAGCTGGGCAAGAGTCTTTCACAGCAGGAGGCTTATACTCCTCAGCTTTGTCCTCTGCCTGCTTTGTCTTCTCCTTTCCTGGTGTTTCATCCTCCATAGACCGAGGCAGTTGTTCTGTGAGCTGTTAGAGCTGGGGAGGGTCTGGGTGGGGCCCTTGTTGTGAATATGGGGCTTGGGTGACGCATCACTAAAGTCCCTCAGGCTATAAATGTGCAATTCTGTTGGTTGGGGGGGTAACTATAGAGAAGTCACAGGGCACACCCCTGAACTGGGCGCAGGCCTGGCACAGCCGGATTGAGCAGACAGTGGGGGAGTTTCCAAAAGTACCACCCCCTGGAAGGCCCTGCATTTTATAGACCAATGGAAACATTTTTTTGATAATTAGGAAATCCACAGAGCCCCCTGGTCAGAGAGTGCCTTGTACAATGGAGAATCCTCTGAGCTTAGCAACAGACATCAGCCTGCTCTATGTTGATTGACTCTGACAAGCTGAGCGAGCGCTCTGCTGAAAAAGGGAGAAAATGAGCCCCCAGCAACCTCTATTCTGTCTCCTCAATCCTGCCTTGAATGGGTGTATTACTCGAGAATGTCTCATAAAGCAATGTGCTTGTGCCATAAGCAAAACCTCCATTCATTCATCTAACAAATAAGTTCTGTGTCTCACAACATATTATGAATATTGTTCCAGACCCGGGGGCTGTACCGGATGCCAAGGAAGTCAAAGCTTGGGCCTTGGTCGCTGGGCTCCCGGGGGTTAGGGTGGGGGTCCTGGGACTGCCTGGCCCTGCTCTCACTTATCTTCCCATTTCCTCGTCAACAGACTGTGTGGTTGAGCCTTCCTCTCTTGGTCTCCCATGACAGTTCTCAAGTTCTCCCAAAGCTGGGAGAACTCTACCTTGGTAGGGGCTTCATCCTCACCTTCAGGAGACAGCTTTCAGCTTTTCACCACGAAGTATTATACTGGGTGTCTGCCGCGGACCAGCGCAGCAGGAGCAGGAGACAAGTTTCAGGGATGGCAATTCTGGCTCAGGGTGGACAAGGATAAGGTTGAGTGACAGACAGACGCGACTTCTAGGAGTGCATATCTGAATGTAATTTATTTTTAAGAGTGAGAGCATTTATCCAGTTTTTCTTGGCAAGTAAATATAGGGGTACAATGATTTTTTTCAATAGAGGTATGACAGGTAATACATTAATTTCTTTTTGTTTCTGAGATGTTGCCAGGGACTCGAAAACCAACTTGGGGCCCTAGGAAACCACTGTGTATTCAAGGTTCAGTGCTGCTAAACAAATGCCCTATCTACCACCTATGCCTTTCTAATCCTTTTAATTACTCTCTCCATTCATTTCACAAACCATCTGGCATATAGGAGTTAATTGTATAAGATTAAAGATTGTAAGGGAGTTTCTCAGAAGTAAATCAGTATCGAGAATAGAGGAAGTTACATTCCTATCAAGAGTATCATTAGAAACGAAGCACAGTATCCATAGCATTTTTTGTTGTACATCAACAGAATCAGAAAACAAATCAAAAAGTTTACAGTGACCATTCGAGAATCAGCCATTCTTTTATTCTTGGAGGGCTACGTATTCCTCCCATGTGCCCGGTACCTTGACCGTGCCAAGCTCTAAGGATTTCTCACTTAGGCGCCGCAGGAGGGGACGTGGCAGCTGTCGGCTTATAACATATGGCCTGTATTATATTGAGGTAGTTTCCTTTTTTGCCCATGTTTTGCTTGGATCATAAATGGGTGCTGAATCTTACCAAATTCTTCCTCTGCATCTGTTATATACGGTTTCGATCTTTACTTTTGTTGACAAGCACCAACAGGGACCCTGTACCCTAGGATGAGTCACAGGCTAACCCCCACTCCTCCACCAGACACTTCTCATTTGCTTCCTGTCTGCACAGCACCCTCTCACTGGACTGTACCCCCGGGGAGCAGCGCTCACATCTCCGCCGCCCCGCCCCACCAGATGGGGCCTCAGACAATGCCGGTTCTACATCGTGAGCTGGCCACACAGGGCAGCTGACAATGTCTGCGCTTGCTTCTGCAGAGCAGCAGATCCTAGAGAAAGCAAGAGACAAAGAGGAAAAATGAGAGAAGGACAGAGAGGTAGAGGGACAGACTGAGAGCAAGGCAGGGGTGGGGTTGGGTGGGGAGAAGACCCAGAGAGGGAACCAGACAGTCAGACTTCTCATGGCTCATTCAGAGAAGTGACTCCACATCCCTCCAGCCCCGTCCAACTCACTAGAGCCCAGTCTCAAAGTCCATCCCATGTAGGTGGAGGTGTGAGCAGGAGTCAGAGGCCCGATCTTGTTGAATGGTTCCAAGTAAGCCATTTGACAAGAAGGAAAAGAATACTAGATCAACGTATTTTCAAGCCTTATTTTAGTACCTATTTACAATGCTTTTATTTCTGCAAAGAGGATACTGCTCATAAAAAGAAAAGAAGAGGAAGGATTATATAGCGCTGTTTCCTAGGTGAAATGGGGAGCAAAACTATTATGCAATGTTTAAGGAATCTCCAGGAACATCATGCTCCCTGGGGCACTTAGAATTTAAAATATGTGGATTTCCGAAGCAGGAGATAATTATGTGGGGGGAAAAAACATGGTGCATGGAAATTTGTTATTAAATAATCTTATCTTTGGAAACATTTGGACTATATCCTGGCACAGGGCCTGACTTGGCTAGTAACTCATTCAGCTCTGAGAAAGGATTTATAGGAAATCCTCTCACAGGTGGGGAATGACAGTGAGATCTGTCTGGTGTGGCCCAGGCCCTGCGGATTCACTCTGACTTCTGTTGGCCAAGGGGCCTCAGTGCTTCGAATCCTCTTCGGTCAATGAAGCAAGAAGCTCCCGGCCAACATTTGCCTGCTTTTCAGTCTCATCTGGATTGTTCCGCAGCCTCAGCTTTGTTTCCATTCTCTGCTTCCATTCTTCTCTGAGCCTGAGAAGAGAAACACCCTCCAATGGAGTTTTCACCTTTACAACTGTAGGTTCAGCGAAACTTCCCTGATGGTAGGGGTGTGTGTGCATTTTCAGATTTTAAAAGATAGGCATATTTTATGTTCATATACATACATACATACACATTTGTGTATATTCACCCCTGTTTATTCTAATATTAACCCTCTAGACTTTTTTGAGTGCAATATTTTTAAAGTGCTAGGGGAAAGTCTGTCAATCAAGAATTAGTTACTCAACAAAGCTCTATTTTAAACCATTGAGATGAAATAGAGTTTTAGACATGCAAAAACTGAAGGTTAAGAATTCATCGGCAGCAAGCTGTCACTACATAACATGTTAAAGCAAACCCTCCCACACATACACCTGCAGGAAGAAAATCACAGCAGATGAAATACACTAGATATGTTTACACAATGGAATGAAGAGTACCTGAAAAGACAACCATTGGGTACAAATTGTTAATTTTTTCTAATTATTTAAATATCTTTAAATATAAAACACCAAAAAACTGCCAGTGATGTGATGTGGGGTTTATAATGTATCTTTTACATTAAATCACATTTTTAACAATAACATAGAGGCAGAAGGAGAAAAATAGGACTATACTATTATAACGTTCTTTCTTAACTGCACAGAAAGTGATAGCTCACTTGTAGGTAGGCTGTGATATGGCAAAGAAGTATCAATAAAGCCTAGAGCAACCACTAAAATACACAAAGAGATGGGGTTAAAAAGTTAATAGAGGAGATTAAAATGCAAACAAAACAAATTTAATTAGTTTAAAAGAAGGCTGAAAAAGAAGAGGGACAGAGAGTAGGCATGAGAATCAGGAGAGAGCAAGGTCGTAGATTTAAAATCAATCATACCAGCTAACAGTAATGATGTCAACAATCCAGTTAAGATGCAAAGATTACCAAATGAGTTTTTAAAAGAAACTCACTTTTCTACAAGAAACTCACTTTAAATATGAAGACACAAGTAACCCAAAAGTAAAGGATAGAAAAATATTCCATCCCAATCCTATCAAAGAAAAATGGAGTAGTTATCTCAACAATAACCACCCCCCAACTCCCTGCTGTGGCTTCTGGTGCGGTGCTGAGCAAGCTGCCCACAGGTTGGGAGGAAGGTGGCAGGGGCTGTGGAAGTGAGTGACCACCCAGCTCTGCTTCTCTAGGACCCCAGAGAGCCGCCCTAACATGCACTGTGGTAGGCCTGTGGCCTGCTTTTTCCCTGCCTCAGCCAGGACACAGCTGAGCAGTTCCCATGTGGAAGAGGCTGGGTTCCTCACCAAAGCTCAGGAGGGTCGTTTGGAAAGCAGGTTTCCCTTGTGTGAACTAAAGCACATTATCAGTTCAGCAAGGGTGGACAGACAGCTTGGGGTCTGGGCCCTGCCTTGGGCCTACACACCCATGCCCCAGTGTTCCTCCCCCAACCTGGGGCTGGCAGTGCTGGGGGGCAGCCCCACGGTCACTCTTTCCACGTGGGCTGTGACTCTGGTCTGCTCCTGTGAGTTGCCACTCTCTGGGGAGCAGACTCATGTGCCTAGCCAGGGAGGCACGCCAGAGTGGAGAGAGCCCCTCGGAGAACCCCACGGGGCAGCCACAGGGTTTTGAAGGGAAGAGCACTGAGAATTGATCTCTTTTACATGGTTGCTTTGCACAGACATATCTCGGACTGTCTCCCAAATTTAGCATAACCCTCACATGCTAGAAATGATGATGAGGAGAGATTGTCCTTTTTAAGCTAAATGTACGATTATATGTGTATATTTGTTACTTGGAAGGAATTTGTAATATTGCTTCCTGTAACAGGTCCATATGCATGGAAAACGAAATTATTACATCCTTGAAGAACTTCACTGGCATCCTTCTAGGGAGATCAATTTTGCTTTAAAAAATAGGCAAAGCAAGGGTGATGATGAGGTGTCAGTGCGTATTCATGGGGCGTAACTGAGGCATCACTCTGGCTGGGATGGGGCGCTGGGACCACATGAGAACATCATGCTCGCTTTTGTTGCCAAGCTGTAACTGTTCTAAGAAGTTAGTTGTAAAGAAAGAGACAAGCAAGCACCTACTTTCTCAGGGCGCTCCTTCCCAGGCGATACTCCTCCGTCTCCCGGTAGTAGGTCTGTTTGCCGATTTCTCTTTCCCAGAAGCGTTTGAGTTCGTGACAGGTGTTCCTGCAGAAGACCTCCCGGCGGGTGTACTGATTGTTCATCCCCTGAAAAGAAATGATAGGCCCAGTCCCTCTAGAACCTGTGTCCTCAGACTCTGGAGGTCACAGGCTGTTGAAATCCACCGTGCCATTTACCTGCGTGTGGTGGTCCCAGGTAAAGATCTCACTTGTGTCAGGACACAGAGGCAAACTCAGGAGCTGCCTACTGGAGTGTGACATGTCACACAAGCTAAATACCTGATGACAGGGCACCCCAACATGTAGCATTTTCACATCAGTTAAACAAATTGTGTTGAGCTTTGACCCTTGTGAGGCATCTAAGGGGCCACTCATGTTCAGGGGACCAACCGAACAGCATATTTGTCCACTGGGAGCCCGAACGCTCTGCCAACCATTTAAGCTCCCAAGTCTCAGATTTCTCGGACTATTAAACCCAAGCAAATGAATGCAAGTTTTGTTTTTGTTTTTAATAAAGAATTTTGGCTCATCCTGGTCACTCTTTGACTGGAGCAGCTCATATCTAACGGCTGACTGAGCCACCAGCTGGCAGCACTTCCTTGGATATCCAGCACCTCCTAAAAGCACCTTCTTTGCGGTTATTTTCCACAACATTTCAAAATGCTTCCTAAAGGTGAGAGCTTGAGATAGAACAGAGGGCTCCAGTTCCACATAAATGGAGGAAGTGCGCTCCACCCTGTGTCTTTAAGGGTGCAGCTCCCGGCCGGCCTGGACGGAGCCCACTGGCAGCTACTTGAGGACCCTGCACAGTGAACAGGAGACTGGAATTCTATCAATGACACTACTTTCCATTTTTAGCCTGAAACCCCCAGATTAGGCTCAGGCAACCTGAAACCCAGAATGCGGAACGGACACAGAGACAGCTTCGCACTGCTCTGAACCTCTGAAGAAGGCAGAACCCAAAGCAGAATGGGGACATTGCTTGCTTTTTTCTTCTCTTTCCCAGGTCTCTGGTAAATTCCAAGGCTTGGCAAACAGCAAGCATATGACCAGCAGCTGGGCCTGAGAGACACAAAACCTTGAGGGCAGGAAACTCTCCTGCAGGAGGAGCTGTGGGCCCAGGGAGGGGAGCTGGCCTTCCCTTATTTTCCTCCATCCTCTTTTTTTATTTCCACCTGGCCTAGACCTGAGTACGGCTCTGGGAGAGCACAGCAGAACAGGTAACTGGCCACATTTCTGGTCAAAGGACTGTAAAAGGGGAGTCTCCCCCATTGGAAATTGGGGAGACCAGACATGTGGGTAGACCTCTAGAGAGAGATTCCCTTGGAGTCACTCATGACCTCCTCCCTGGGCTCCTCTCCCAGCGGCACAGACCTGGGTCTGATTTCAAATAGCCCACCAAAGGCTTTTGCTCTTTCTTTTTAAAATTTGAGCTATAATTGACATATAATATTATATTCATGCTAAGAGCATCAGAGATTTTTACTGGTACTAAAGTATAAGTCCCTGCCAGCTTCCAGAATGGCCCTGATGGCACACACAAGTATCTGGATGATTCTACAAAGATCTCAGAACAAAACTGACTCTGAAATAAAAATTCAGAGAAAGTTGGTTGGCACTTGAACCCTGAGCTCTAGGAATTGCCTGCGGAAACAGAAATACTGACATTTCCAAAGGATGTGAAAGAGACCCAGAGTGTCATAGGTAATATTTAAAATGTCAGGAGTAGGAGCCACAGTTATTGGGCAGATGAAGACCAGTAGAATCTCAACTAGTATGAAGAAAGACAAACACAGGATGTCAATATAGAAATCACATAGATGTTAAGATGATCTAACAAACAAAATAGCTATTATAAAAATTCTCCAAGAAGTAAACACTCTTAAGGTGAATAGAAAAGAGAACAAGTCTTAGAAAGAAGAAATAAAAGAAACCATACAGAAGTTTTAGAATTGAGAAATGTATTAACTGAAATGTAAAAGCGTCTCATTGGATGAAATCATAACAGAATGGAGACAACAAAGACTAATTGATAGAAATTGTCCCTCACTCACACACACACACACACACACACACACTCACATGATATATAAATAGAACAGAGACCTGTGGGATAATATTAAAAATTCAATCATTCATTTTCACTGGACACCCACAGAAGAGGAGAAAGCAGGTAGTACCAAAAAAAAAATATTGGGAGAAAAAATTTTCCAATTTGGCAAAAGACATAAATCTATAGATTTAAGAAGTTAACCAAACTCCAAAAGGCTACACTCATAGAAAATCATATCTGGCCACATCATAATCAAACTGCTAAAAGTTGAGAAAAAAAATATTGATTGCACTCAGAACTTCATAATACACAAATGAAAACTGATTAAACTTGGAGAAGTATGTAAATCCATAGTTATTCCTGGAGACTTCATTTCTCCTCTTTCAGTTAAAAAAAAACTAGCAAAGAGAAAATCATCACAAATATAGAAAAACTGAACAACACCACCAGCCAACTAGATCTAGGTGTAATTTATAGACCTCTCCACCCACTGATTGTAGAACTCAGATTCTTTTCAAGTGTACAAGAAGTAAACCACAAACATTTCCCAGAGAAGTTCATTGAGTTTAGTGAGGACGCAGGATATGAGATCAATACACAAAACTAATATATGCTAGCAATGAACAATTGGAAACCAAAGTAAAAAGCACAATACTAACTTACAATAACTCCCCCTAAATGAAATACTTGGGAATAAATTTAACAAAACATGTGCAAAACACATTTGCTAAAAAATGCAAGATTCTGCTGAATAAAATAAGTCTTGAGTCAATGGAGAAGCATAAAATGTCCCTGTATTAGAAAACTCAATAGCATAAAGATATTAGTTCTTCCCCAACTCATCTATAGAGTTTTTGCAGCACAAATAGAAATACAAGATAGATTTTTTTTAATAGACAAAAGACAAGTTGATTCTAAAATGTGTATAGAAAGGCAAAGGGACTAAAATAACTAAAGCACTTTAGAAAATGAAGAATAAAATTAGGTGAGTAAATGGATAAAAAACTGTCAAACATCCATGCAATGGGATGCAGCACAGCAAGAAAAAGCGACACAGTGAGTAGAAGGAGTTACACTTCAAAGACTATATTCTGTGAGTCCATTTACTGATATTCTTCTAAAGACAAAAGTATTATGACTACCTAGGGTTAGAGGTAGAGGGAGAATTCAAAATTTGAATTTTTACTCCCTGAGTGCAAGATGAACTTCCATTCCTGGCACAGTCAAGGTCATCATGCTTTACCTTTGAGATGAATCTGCAGCTGTCTTGATAGGGTGTAAAGGCGAGTGAGAATCGCAGCTTTGGGGTTTACAAAGGCCAGAGCCTGGTCCTCAAACTTCAGGGTCTCTACCCTATATATGCAGAAGGGAGGAGTAGCAGAAATGCCCCTGTCTTTCAAGGTGACATGCATCGAATTAGTAGCAGAATCACAGAGCTTCATTCCAGGGACAAGATGGCCTCCTTTCCACCCCCGGCTCCCCCTGCCCACTCGGGGCAGGCAAGCTCCTGCTCTGGCAGGCCCTGCAGGGCCCATGACTTGGCGAGAGCCAGAGTTACTGTTTAGAACATGCTCGGGATTATCTGGGAGCACGAACCCACTTTGCATCAGGCAAAGCTGCCCTTCACCCCTTGGGGGCTAAAGAAGCCCAGGATGGTGTGACAAGTCACACTTTGGGGTCACCTTACAGGATGACTTAGAGAGGCGTTTTGTCCTATGGAGCTGCTAATCCATGCTTGGAACTCTGTGGTGACATTTCACAGCCCGCTTAAAGCTCCCCCAGTGGAGCCCCGCTGGGGCTGGGGGGGGGGATCTGTCTTCCAGTAAAAGGCATTAAACTGAGAAGCCATTTCAAGCAGCATGTTGTGTTCTTGGGTTAAACATCTGGAGTGGTGCCTCATCTGAGAACAGTCGGGTGGCCCTCAAACCCTTTAGGCCACTAAAGAGCACGGTTGTAACTTCACATGAGTAGCATTCTCCATTACACAAGCCTAGGGCAGTGAAGGAACATGGAAGCTGTTGAGGTATTTTTGTTTATTGAGGTAATACTGATTTACAACACAGTATATGTTTGAGTATATAGTGTCACATCTCTGCAGGTGCATACTCTCACACCACACCTACCACCCAAGCACCAGTCTTCCACAGAGTCTGTGGAGCTCCCTCATTGGAGGTACTTTACTAAGGTTTTTTCTCCAATGTAAATACTTAATGGAACAGCCGAACCAGATCATGCAAATTAAAATCACAATGAGATTTCACCTCACACCAGTTAGGAAGTCAAGAAAAAATAAGTTTGGTGAGGATGTGGACAAAATGGAACTCTCATCCACTGTTGGTAGGAATGTAGATTGGTACAACTACTTTGGAAAACTGTATGAAGTTTCCTCACAAAATTGGCAAGGGAATTACCTTATGATCCAGAAATCCTAATTCTGGGTATTTATCGAAAGAACTTGAAAACACTAATTTAAAAAAGAAGTGTGTTTATGTTCATTGAAGCCCTATTTATTGTTGGTTTTTAAAAATTTAACATATATGTATATATATATATATATACATATATAGGTGTGTGTGTATATATATATATCATTCATCCTTTTGCACCACTGTTTAAATTAACCAAGATATGGCAATAACCCAGGTGCCTGAGGATAATGAATGACTTAAGATGTGGGACACATGCACCATGGATTACTATATAGCCACAAAAGATGAAATATTGTCATTTTCAACAACATGGATGGAACTTGAGAGAATTAAGTAGAATAAGTCTAAAGAAGAAAGATAAATACCATCTGATTTCACTCATTTGTGGAATATTAAAAACGGCAAAAGCAATAAAACACACATAAAAAAAAACTAAACAAACCTTTAGACCCTCACAACAACACAGTGGCTACCCAAGGGAACCGAGTGTGGAGGGACTAGCTTGGTGGTAGATGGTGAGGGATATTTGTCGTGTGAAATATACTGTTTCTCACCATACACCTGAAATCTGCGATGTGAATTGTTAGCTTAATAAAAAGAAAATGAAAATTATGCTTTGCACAAACAGGGTAAGAGTTGCAAAACTGATGGCCAGGCTCATGTTTCTCACCTGACCTTCCCAAACCTTTATGAGTTTGATCTATGTTCTATTCCCTTTGGATAAACTGGTCTTCCTGGCAGGGAGGGAAGCTGGCAGTTCAGGCGTCGTCATGGGTTACAACAGCATTTTCACCCAGCCTCCCCTGTCATTCTCCAATGAAAAATGAAGAGTAGGGGAAGATTCTTTAGCAGTGCCATGGGTTGATTATTTTGGGCGAAGGCTTTTTGGGGTCTCTCCAGACACTAAGAACTGAGTCCGATCACGTATGACCTAGCACGTCCTTAACTTTTCTTGGGTCCAGCTGGGGAAAGGCCGAGGGGACACAGTGCAGCCTTCTGGCCAGCCCAGGATTGGCACCACGAAGGAGGGGCCAGTGAAATGACAGGGAAGGGGCGTCCCTCTGCCACCGGGACATGGTGACTGAGGACGTGAAGGCCATGGTGACTGAGGACATGTAGGTCGAGGCTCCCTGGTTCCCTGAGTCTGTAGTGAGGCCTTGAGCTCTTTGTGACCATGCACTGGCCAGGGCTGCAGCAGGGCGACCGGTGGGTGAGGGTCTCCACAGTCCCAGTGGGGACTTGTTCTCGCCTGGTTCCCCCAGTGCTGGAAACCTGTTCTCCTCTCAGGTTTGTAAGAACAGCAGCGAGGAACAAGCTCAAAGCCAGTGAGGGAAGCTCAGGGCCCACTTCCCGCTAAAAGGCAGTTTTCTGGACTCCATGCTGACTTCCTGAACGGGGGCTGCTGGGAACCAGGGACACAGCAGAGTCCCCTGTGAACTTAACACAATGGAGCACGTGGGCTCCCTCTCGGCTGGCTTCCGGTTGCACCCTGGTCTCAGCCGACACCACCTGTGGGCAGGACAGGTACCGGTGGGACACATGGCGACCAATAGATTTTCTGCCTTTCTTAGCTCTCCCTCCATATTTAATAAGTCCGTTTACAATCCCCCCCCCCCTTTTATTTTCTTGTTTCTGTGTATCGGCTTTTGTGTCTTGTCCTACATGCCTAAGTGTACAGGTGAGAATTCACAAAGCAGGTCACCTCCTTTTCCCCGGAGTTTGCCCAGACCAGGTTTTAACTGACTGAAGTGTGTGTGGGGTGGGGAGGGACGGATTGTTTAGGAGAGTCCAGGCTGAG